GCGAAAGACAATATATTAATCTCTCGTAGTAGGTAATTTTAAACCGATTACTAAGCATTTAAAAGAACTGAGCATTTAAAACGGTGAGACAATATCTCCATAGCGAATGATAATATATTAATCTCTCGTAGTAGGTAATGTTAAACCGATTACTAAGAACATTTAAAATATCTCCATAGCGAACTGTAGTAGGTAATGTTAAACCGATTACTAAAAAGAACGACCATTTGAAACGGTGAGACAATATCTCCATAGCGAATGATAATATATTAATCTCTCGTAGTAGGTAATGTTAAAACCGATTACTAAGCATTTAAAGAACTGACCATTTGAAACGGTGAGACAATATCTCCATAGCGAATGATAATATATTAATCTCGTAGTAGGTAATGTTAAACCGATTACTAAGCATTTAAAGAACTGACATTTGAAACGGTGAGACAATATCTCCATAGCGAATGATAATATATTAATCTCTCGTAGTAGGTAATGTTAAACCGATTACTAAGCATTTAAAGAACTGAGCATTTGAAACGGTGAGACAATATCTCCATAGCGAATGATAATATATTAATCTCGTAGTAGGTAATGTTAAACCGATTACTAAGCATTTAAAGAACTGAGCATTTAAAACGGTGAGACAATATCTCCATAGCGAATGATAATATATTAATCTCTCGTAGTAGGTAATGTTAAACCGATTACTAAGCATTTAAAGAACTGACCATTTTTGAAACGGTGAGACAATATCTCCATAGTAGGTAATTTTAAACCGATTAATAAAGATTTTTTAAAAACGGTCTCTCCATAGTAGTAGGTAGGTAAAACCGATTACTAATTTAAAGAACTGCATTTGAAACGGTTATCTCCATAGCGAATGATAATAAAATCTCGTAAATGTTAAACCGATTACTAAGAATTTAAAGAACTGAGCATTTAAAACGGTGAGACAATATCTCCATAGCGAACGATAATATATTAATCTCTCTCGTAGTAGGTAATGTTAAACCGATTACTAAGCATTTGAAACGGTGAGACAATATCTCCATAGCGAAGAACTGTAGGTAATTTTAAAACCGCATTTAAAACGGATTTAAAACGGTGAGACAATATCTCCATAGCGAATGATAATATATTAATCTCTCGTAGTAGGTAATGTTAAACCGATTACTAAGCATTTAAAGAACTGAGCATTTCCAAAATAATATATTAATCGGTGAGACAATATCTCCATTTGAAACGGTGAACAATATCTCCATAGATAAATATATTAATCTCTCGTAGTAGGTAATTTTAAACCGATTACTAAGCATTTAAAGAACTAAGGATTTTAAACGGTGAGACAATATCTCCATAGCGAATAGCGAAATGATAATATATTAATCTCTCGTAGTAGGTAATAATTAAACCGATTACTAAGCATTTAAAGAACTGAGCATTTGAAACGGTGAGACAATATCTCCATAGCGAATGATAATATATTAATCTCTCGTAGTAGGTAATGTTAAACCGATTACTAAGCATTTAAAGAACTGACCATTTGAAAAGAACTGAGACAATATCTCCATAGCGAAAGATAATATATTAATCTCTCGTAGTAGGTAATGTTAAACCGATTACTAAGCATTTAAAGAACTAAAGTTTTAAACGGTGAGACAATATCTCCATAGCGAATGATAATATATTAATCTCTCGTAGTAGGTAATTTTAAACCGATTACTAAGCATTTAAAGAACTGACCATTTGAAACGGTGGAGACAATATCTCCATGAATGATAATATATTAATCTCTCGTAGTGAGGTAATGTTAAACCGATTACTAAGCATTTAAAGAACTGAGCATTTAAAACGGTGAGACAATATCTCCATAGCGAATGATATATATTAATCTCTCGTAGTAGGTAATGTTAAACCGATTACTAAGCATTTAAAGACACCATTTGAAACGGTGAACAATATCTCCATAGCGAAAGACAATATATTAATCTCTCGTAGTAGGTAATTTTAAACCGATTAAAAGCATTTAAAGAACAATATTTAAAACAATGAGACAAGATCTCATAGCGAATGATAATATATAATCTCTCTCGTAGTAGGTAATGTTAAACCGATTACTAAACATTTAAAGAACTGAGCATTTGAAACGGTGAGACAATATCTCCATAGCGAATGATAATATATTAATCTCTCGTAGCGAATGTTAAACCGATTACTAAACATTTAAAGAAATGACCATTTGATCTCTCCGAAGTAGCGAATGATAATATATTAATCTTCGTTAAATGTTAAACCGATTACTAAGCATTTAAAGAACTGAGCATTTAAAACGGTGAGACAATATCTCCATAGCGAATGATAATATATTAATCTCTCGCTATAAACCGATTACTAAAACCTGAAGCATTTAAAACGGTGAGACAATATCACAATTTTCAATTAATTATTATGTAATTAATTATTATATTTAAACATCAGGCGATAAAAGAGTTTAACTTTTGCTTTGATTTTTCATTCTTAAACCTTTTTTTCTGGTCGCTATCAAAAATATTGATATCCAGTAAGGATTATCTGTTTTATAATTCCACATATGAATACGAAATAAGAACGAATTAGCAGATCGAAGATGTTCCCTTTTGGTTATTAATATTGAACATCTACTGGGATGCACATTCACTCCTGCCCTCAGGTGGAACTCATTACATACCTTCCATCGCTAAAGATGCTAAATGAAAATCGTCTGCTTCTTTACAAGAATCTGAACGCATGATTGTTAGCAAAAGGTTGAGGCCAAAGCGCGATTTGTAAATCTGAAACATCAAAATCAAGTGCGGAAATTTAAATATTTTAACAGGGAACGCAAAAGACGGGAACTAACAGATAGAAAAACTTCGCTAGAGAAAATATAATGAGTACTAAATTGTTACGTGATATCTGTCCTCCTTTATGGCAGTAAGTGTAGGAAAATCTCAAATTTGAAGAAGAGACATGAAGCAACTGAAAAGTGGTTTTACAAAAGGATACTTTGGATACTATGGACGGAACATGTTGGCAATGATGGAATTTTACAGAAAATAGAAACAAAAAGGACACTTATACTTAAGGAATTAGGAAGAGACAGCTGAGGTTTCAGGGCAACATATTCGAAAACGGACGGCTTGGAAAATATGACACCCACAGGACAGTTTGGGGCAAGAGTGACAGAGGAAAACTAAGAATAACCTACTTAGTGAGCATAAGTAAATGGATGGCGGAACAGGGTTTAGGAAAAATAACAGAACGACAAAGATTATTAAGAGCTACAAGGGACAAGAAGTCGTGGAGAGCCATCATCGCCAAAGTCCTGAGGGGACACGGTGCAGAAAAAAGAAAATTTAGACTAGTGTTACACAGAACTGAAAAACGCTTACCTGTCCTTTTGGTGGATGAATTATTTCAAACCCTTCAAACCCTTTTTGCTAAAGAAGAAAGGTTTTAAGCCTTTTTCTCTTTTCATGGCAAATTCACATACACCACCAGTTCAGACACTTACAGCTAGTTCACCGTTTAGCAACCCACATGTATTCAGTTTCATTTTTTTTAAGAAGAGCTTGTATTTTGCTTTTAAATCTAAATAAATCGTTCACTCGCTAGTAATTTGCAATCGCCTGATGAGATACATTGGTACGCATCGAAACATGACTGCAATTGTGTAGCGATTTTGAGACGTTTTCGATGTAATATCCTAAAGTAAATAATATTCACTACTTTGTGTTGAGCCCTATTTTGCATCAAATGTTACGAACGCTGGAATTGTACACTATTCGTTCTCATCTTACCTGGATATATATATATATATATATAATATTATAAATTAATTGGTTTAAAATATGTTTTTTCCGCTACACAGTCCTAACCATGTTTTAAAAATAGAAGCTAAAATCCCCGAAAACCATATTTTAAACCAATTAATTTATAATATTAATGCTCTGTAAATTTACATTGAGCACTATTTTGTAAAAATAAAAATATCTATAAGAACACCGGATTATATATCTTTCTGTCCTTTCTTTATATATATATATATATATATATATATATATATATATATATATATATATATATATATATATATATACACAAAACACATATATATATATATATATATATACACATACACACACATATATATATATATATATATATATATATATACACACACACATATATATATATATATATATATATATATATATATATATATATATATATATATATATATATCGTAAGGTATATACATTCAGCTCTTATGTTGTGTTACTATACCACTATAACAACTTATGAAAGTTCCTTATGTATGAAAAGCTTGAGCGCAAAAAGCAGTGTATTAACACTAATGTATCTCCAAAACCGATCCCAGAAGATGTGTTCTATTGAAGAGATTTAATGCTGTGTTTTGGGATTGTCGGAATATTTTCATTTAGACTTATAAAACGCAGTGAAATGTTAAATGCACATTTATAAGCCCAGAAGCAGCAACAGGAGCATAATACTTTGGTCAAAAATTGGCCTGCACTCATAAAAATGTTTCTTTTCTTCGTGAAAACGCTTTGCCGCATGAAAAGCCTTGCATATCTGTCCTCCGTCTATTCTACCCCAGCTGTCAATTATCACTACAGATTATTAATGATCGCTGCAAAACGCTTTTGTGGGAGAATGTTTCTCTAACGAAAATCATTCATTGACTGATTTATTTTTTATGGTATATCAACACTTTTCAGATTATTTAAAGCCAGAAAATATTTCTAGATTGTGTAGTATTTGGGGAGATAATAATGATTTACTGGTAACAGTCCTGCTAATTAACACATACCAGGAGTGGGTGGGTGTTGAAAAGTTGACTGCATACCACTCCCAAGATTATTTGCGCGTAAGTAACTATAACAATCTTGACACGTATTGGAACTCGGCTCTTCAGTTTCTCATTTCTTCTTTTTGCAATTACACCAAACGTTCATCCAAACTTACAGCATCAGGTATTCCCTAAAAGTTACCCGTCTAGGTACTGACTAGACTCGATGTTGCTTAACTTCAGTGATCGTACGAGAACAAGTGTTACAAAGTGATCTAGCTTTAAGGCTAATGAAGATCTGTTTCATGAGTTCGGCGAAAACATTTTCAAATCAAAACCTGTTGAATGTTACTCAAAACATAACGGAGATCTACCTTATAAATGGTAAGAACTAATTGTTAATAATGATTAATATATAATTGAGTGAAATATAATTTTCTTTTTTTTAAGAATGATGTTGTTAAAACTATTGCAGTTATTCATATGCCAACATAAAATATATCAACTATATCACACATTTTTAATTGGCTTTAATATTTACTAATTTTTACGAATTTCTTAGAGATTTAACGAAGATAAACAGAGTCTTCAACATTTCTACTCTGCTTCCCAATCATTTCTCCAATGCAGTTTTTTTTATTCGTTGACTTTTAATGTTTCTCTAACCGACACATCAGATTCATTTGCCCATTTTAAAGCTTCAAACTCGTAACTTTCCTACATCTTTGATACTTATTGCGAGACCGGAAACTACCTTCACAATAGACTCTCCAGGCCTATATTAAGTAGGCGACATAGCACTCTACAGAGTGACTGAGAGACACAGAGAGACAGTGACAGCTACGTACGACTACCAGTATTGGACACTAACATATAGTAAGCTCCGCTTACACTATCTCTGTAACCTGTTGTAAATATATCTTTTTTACTTCTAATCCGTGTTCCGTATTTTACTTCTGTGGTCCCAACTTTGGCCCCACATCAATACTCAAATAATGAAGATACTTCATTCTTCATGTATCTTTTCTTTTTACTCATTATAAGCCAGAAGTGCCACTCCAGTTAGATGATTACTAAGTGGGATTCTTTTAAGGTAAGGCGTAGGTGGGAGCGCGACTTAAATAATATGAGGATATTTAGCATAGATAAAGGTTAACGCTCGGCATGTGACGTTAAGATTGGAGTGGTCAAGGAAGCAAATACTCAACAGTCTGTTCCACAATGTAACAATTCCGGAAAAGAAGCTGAGTGGATCTTCTCCCTACCAAACGAACACGAAGAAGATGATTTGCCATCGGGAACATGGCATGGCGCGGCCTAGCTAAGGAGCTATATATTGTAACTCGATGGGACATTTGGTACAATAATGGCGATATAGTAGTGATTGACTGGAAATATTTCGTCTGTGGTGAAGGTATTGCAGTTTAGAAATTAATTCGTCACCCACAATCTCGCGTAAGTATTTTTAAATTCTGTCAAGTCTGGGCACTGATGAATAGACAGCTTCAGCTTAGATATGGTAGTAATAAACAGTTCTTGGTCGTATCTTGCATTTGCAAAGATAATTAAAAATAACAGGAGTAAGGTATTTTCTTTCTATTTTAATAAGTGTGGATTTCTTCAAATCAAAACTGCAGTTGATTTATTTCTATGGATGACTAAAGCATTTGATAAATTATTATATATACGGCTCCTTTTGTGTTCACATATATATCATTTTTTAATTTTTGCAAGTTTCCCTAATGTATTGTGAGAAACACTTCTGTAAAAATTATTTTATGTACACATGCTAAAGAATTATTATTGTTATGGGTATTTTTGGTTCTGATCAGGTCCATAATATTTTTGGATGTGGTTGTAATTATTTTGATGTTGTGTAGGCTGGAATTTGGTGGGGGATATTATAAAATTATTAGGTAGTATTACGTAACTGTTTTTACCGAGATCATTTTTGTTAATAATATTGTTATATTTTTGCTGTCGTATATTCTGTATACGTTTCTCTTAACATTGTCGATGGAATAGATGAATTTAGAAGGAGGATCTTCGGGAGTGCCGCTAATGAAACCTATAAAGATATAAATCTACGCCTCTGATTTTACTCCAATGTCTCCATTCCTGGAAGAATTATTAGTTTCCCAAGCCAACATATATGACAACTAAAAAAAAAAAAAAAAAAAAAATTAAATTCATAATATCGTCTATATTCAAAATATATAGCAGACAAACTAATCCCAAACTAAAGTAATTCAAATACAACTTTGCATAAAATATCAAGAATATCATTTATTCACTTTCGTTTATTAGATATTGAATCTGTCACTTAGTGCTCTCCATAGTTCAGTTCACATGAAGGATATTTATGGGTGTTCCGAAACTTAAACATTTTGAAAGACCAATAACATATTCGCTTTTGTAGGTAAATAACTTACAAAATACAATTCTTGCAATTTCCTTGATAAAGTACCTCAGAGGACGAAACATATCAGCTAAGATAAGTTTTCCTTTAGTCTTCATATATATATATATATATATATATATATATATATATATATATATATATGTGTGTGTGTGTGTGTGTGTGTGTGTGTGTGTGTGTGTGTGTGTGTGTGTGTGTGTGAGTATGTGGATTTGATTTTTTGTTATTATTCTTATAATCATAATATTAATTGGTATGGATTTCTCTGGTCGAATATTACCTCAGGTACTGAAATTCATCGGAAGCTTTACCACAATTTGGTAACCGTGCTTTACCACATACAAGTATG